CCCCAAAACCCCAAAACCCCAAAACCCCAAAACCCCGATTACTAGATTTGCTATTGAATTTATTCCATTTGGATTCTTAGTGCTTCACTATGGTTGAGTTCGATAGGTAGAACTCCACAGTTAGTCTCCAACTCTTCATTTACCTTGTTAATCTCTTTCTTAATGACTTCTCTGTCTACCTTAGAATCCTCACTAGTGGATAAGTAGAGAATATAGACCTATAAGTATGAAAGATTAGGACATACGGCATCATCTCCTCCAGCTCCAGGGACTCCACACATTACTAAGTTGGGGATTCTGTCTCTGAAGTTGTCAAGAATTTTGGTGACTCTGGCTGGTTCAACTTGGACCCCAGATTCCTCTGTGATAATGCACAGATGTTTCCTCATTGTATTATTCAGCTCTAAAGGATCAAACTGTGGAATATACCTGTCAGTTTGCTGACATGGGAAGGAATAACGTCAGTATCTAAAGATTCTTTGTTAAGGAATCTTTCAACCTGATCCTTATACCCATCTGTGGACTCTAACTCTCTATAATGTAAAATTGGGGTAGTTACTTTAGCTCTTTAAAGATCTCAATAATTTCAAGATTGAATTTGAAGAGATTCTGCCAATTTTCATTGGAAAATATCGTGTCCTTGTTCTCATGCTCTGGATCTGGATGCTCTCTTGACCATTGCATCAAGTTCTTGACCATGACTCTTGTGTCACTTCCGCTAGAAGTACACACCATGCAGAGGTTGAAATATTTTGGAATTTCAAATCTTACAGGCACAAAAGAAAAGTTTTCAGAGAAATTTTTAAAATTGGCTTCTATGGATTCTCCAGAGTTGTTCTCAATAATAGCGTCGATTCCTTCAATAATCTGAGGAAGGTCTTCCTTGGTGTTGTATCTTTTAAACACAAGATGGCCATATGTAGCTGCTGCGATGTCAAATCCGCTGCCTATCTTCTTGGCTCACACAGAGTTTGCTAAAAGTGTTATCTGAAAAGAACTTACCGATTTGGGCAAGTATGTGGACCTCCTTCAGCTCTTCCTCGCTCAAAGCTTGCTTTTTGCTAGCGAGGCAATATAGAGTAGCAATGAATGAAGCTATAATTGTTGAAAAATCTTACTGATAAAAGTAGCTGAGCTTCCCATCCCTGTCTTGGCTAGAGGCTTGTCTTTATCTTGTTCCTTACTGCTTTCGGGCTCAAAAGAGTAAAGGCTGTTGTCCCCGATAAATGTGAAATCCAGCTCACTGACAGTGTCTAGGAACTTCGAGAATTGTTCAAGAGATTCATGTGGCAAAGTCTGCGAAAATGGCAAAAGACTGAAGAAGGTGTTCAAGATAGCTCTTGAGAATTCAAATGAATCATCGGTCTGCTCTTCATCTAGCCCAACGCTGAAGGTTGTATGATCATCTTGGTAAATATTTTTGAGGCTGAATACCCATGTCTTATCACCCATCTGGGGAGAATGACACTTGACAACAGTCTCACCAGTTTTGATTTCCCCTTCACGGCTTATTTTCAGGGTTGTCTTCAATCTTGCGGAGCAAGACAAGACAAGGCCACTGTAATATGGCTCAATTATTAGATAGCAACCTGTGATCAGCACTTTTGATGGAGCTGAGATCTCAATTGAGTTAAGATTTTCGTAATCTCTCGATTCGCTAGTTTCCATTTTATTTATTAAAATTTCTTGAAATTTTTGATTTATCCAGGAGTTTGTCCTTCGATAAATGTCATTTTTGCTATTTGTGGAGTGAAAATTTTGATAAATTTGGAGAAATATATCCGATTTTTATCTTTATGTAGTATTTTCAGAAGGCCAGCTGCATCTATCAAACCGAGTGGCTACTCACCAATGCTCTTTCAACATATCCTTGGATTAGAGGGGTTTTGGGGTTTTGGGGTTTTGGGGTTTTGGGG